TATTTTCTATATATTTAGTCCATTTAAAATAATTCACTGTAAAGAGAAACTTAGGTCAAACGTACTTAAATTCACATCCGTATAATATCATCACCTAAACTTACCGGTTAATAATAAGCTAATAAAACTGATCATTATATCATCTATACTTCATTATGTTGAAAACACGCCTGACTTCCTGCGTTAATTGCTCTCATTTCAATAACTCAATAACATTCCTATAAATTAGACACGGAGAGACTGAGTCAAATCAGTGAAATACATTTTTGATCAGCCATAATAAATTCTTCATGCGGACAGGCTCTGCGTTAATCACTGCTGTGGACTTGTATTATTCCCCGCTGCTGGTGCGTGGGGGCAGTGGTTGTTCTGCAGGACGCCTCGGCCTCACTCCCTCAATCATATGCAAATGGCTGTTATAGGAGGGCAGAAATTAACATCTACAAACATTGGACTGAAATTCCATCTGCCGCCTCTTCGAGGAGGTCCTTAATAAGTTCTCAGACAGCAAAGTGACACACATCTTAATCAACTCTTAATCCCGGGAATTAATTCTCCAAGCGTTTATGAATAATTCCCGGGCTAATGCCTCCAGTCCGTGGAAATACAAGCAGTCTGTCGCGCGCACCGCCAGATGGACCCGCCAATCTCCCGAAAAATGAGAGGATCTTTTCTTCCATTATTATTATTATATTTTTTATTATTACCAAATATATAGCCTCTTTTAATGAGATCGCCGTCACCGGGCAACTGCTTATTCAAAGCGCCTCCGTTTATACAAACAGACTCTCATCCTGCTGCTGGTTTAAACACACTGTCATATCCCAGTCATGTTCCAGGCTTCATCTGAGCACAGCGGCAGCGGGACAGCAGATCAGGTGGATGGGGAGATGGAGGTGGCTGCTCCAGGAAGTAGTCTGGTCCCTCTGAGATCCCCTGTGGTAGATGCAGGTCAATCTTTGATTTCCATAAACTTCCCTCTGAACTGTATGAGCAAAGGAACATCAGCACACTCACTCCACAAGGTCTCAGCCTGCTTATTATCTCAGTGAAAGCTTGTTGGCCATACTCAGCTCAGGGGTGGGGGGCAGTGAATTGCACTTGATTTTGGAAATATAATCATGTGGAGCCCCTGACTTGCTGTAACTGGGAGCGAGTGGGTTTGGGGGGCAGGAGCAGTCACTGACACCTTGTTCTGGGCAAAATGAGCAGTTTACATCACCCACACTCCCCTCGCTGCGCAGTCAGCACTACACCGACACCAGGCCGTCTGTCGATCCATCACAGTCACAGCAAATATATCCTCTGGACTGGCTCACATTCATGTCTCTGACCAAAATGCTGGAGTGTGCTGATACAAGACCAAGACATCACGCTCCTCTGTCAGGCCAGTCCCCTGACCCGAATGTTTTTGATTCTAAAACCACTCAACACACATCTACAGCAAAGGTAACAATGCTTTAAACACAATTTAAAATTCTGCTTTTAATTTTACAGAGTTAAACATAACATTTAAGCTGCTTGTGTATTGAATTTTTCTGTTGGAGCTTATTTTTGCTGCCGTGCTTCTTTCAACAAAGAAAATAAACAGCTGAACCTTTATTTAAAAGAATATCCTGCAGCAAAGGTGATGGCATGATGGTTGGTTGTGTTTGCCAGGTGAATAATTTGCCTGTAACACTATATGGTGGTAGGTTATGAACATGGAGCTACAGCTCTATCAGATGACGCTCACTGGCAGATCAGGGCTGTCTGAAAAACTCAAAATGAGACAAATCTAAGATCAAGTGTTCTCGCTCAAACATGCAAAACTCTGAAACAGCAGCTCATGTTTTCCTGGTGCCCTTTTGAAATCCAAACACAGAAATCAAAATGTAAATTGTTTGCTGTTGCTGAGTCGTTCTACCAAACAAAAGGAAAAAATTAAACAATATTTGTGTGGTTATGAGCAACGGACAGCGGATCCTTCTGACTCAATGGTCAACTTTAACCCACAAATCCATATCAGAGGTTTATTAATCCAGAACCACAACACAGAGGCTGTGTGCTTACCGAGGTAATCTCTCTACTGGGAGACTTGACCTTATCCTCAATCCTGCATCTTTTTTCCCAGGGTTATTCTGCTGTGAGCCGGAGGCTGATTTCATATCTTCTAATCTTTGGTGAAATACTCAGATCATTCTCACGGATGCTAAACAAAGAACAGATGCAAGCCATTCTTTAAAGTCTCCAGCAAATGTAACTTGTGACAGCAGTGAAATATGAAATACTTTGTTTGTGTGGCACATGTGTCTGATGGAAGAAGATGTTCATTCACAGATATTCTATGTGCTAATAAGCTACTGAACCTTTAGTCAGAATATGCAGGTAGGCTTCAGTGCAGCATTATGTTGCTTTGTCAGAGCGAAGTGAAGACAGGAGGAGCTAAAGGAAGATGCTAATGACTTATGATGTTTATTTTAGTGTTTTGCTGTGGCTAATTCAAATCACTGTAGCCAATGAAACCAGTTGAACATGGATCTGTAGGAATAAATCAACCTCTCTGTGGTCAGTGGATACATTTAAGTTACTTTTTAGCTTTTCTGCTTCTTTAAAACTTGAACTTTTCATTCATCCATTCATCAGGTAGACTGGAGTGTTTTCAAGATGTTTAGTAATCAGTAAGAAAAGTTCTGATGAAAAATGAAGCTACAGCCAAACGAACGTCAATAACTCAACTGTCTTTCATCTAGAACAGATTTTGATTCATTTATTTTTCTCTTTTTGAGTCTTCAACAGAGCACTAGCTTCCATTTAGGCCTCCAGGGTCATGTGATCAGTACTGTGTCTGGGAACAGGGGTTTATTTAATGACATTCTTTAGCTGTATACAGATTACACACAGGTTTTGAAGGTTGATTCTGATATTTGTTTGACTGATATCTAGCATTTGAATTTAGACAAAAAAGGATAATGTAAAATAAAATGTAATAATTATAATAATTCAATAAAGAGGGTCTGAATTATCAATAAATAAAATGATTCAATAATTGTTACCTTGTTCCCATGTTTTAAAGGCTTTCAGAGAGATTTGAGCCTTGTTAGCTCTAACAGCTGAGTGGCTGATAATATAGAAAGACCACCAAGGTAAATGCTGTCATCTCAACAACTTAAAATGGTGACAGTGATTCTGGTTCAAGAATTCAAAAAAGTTGCACAATGTGTTGTAGAAGTTGAAGCCAAGGCTTCAGATTGAAGCCCAGCAGGAGACACATGTGACTGGAACACAAAGGACTGGCTCGATGGCAGACAGAGCTCAGGGAAACAACAGGGAGAGAAGAGAGGTGATACACTGCTTCATAAGCACAGTGCTGACTACACACAGAGGGACTGGCAGTGTCCACACAGTCAACAGGGATGGTGTTTGGTGTTTGGTTTTCAGGGTGCAGGTTTAGTGCCTTTTTAAATCTTTGATGACATGGATTCATTGGAGTCAGCTGCAGTCATAAGACTTTCCTCTAAACCTGTAAACTTTTTACAAACTGACTGATGATGTCCTGGGAAATGCAAGGCAAATAGAAAAGGAGGGTAAACAGTGACAGCAGCTGAGCTTCACTTTATGCTGCTTGATCCCTTTTATTCTTCTCTGTAAATACATTTGATATAGTGCTTTTAAATGTGTAAGTATTTGCTTTTCACTGATGTCTAATACTTTACAACATTATAAAGCCATGGTTGCTTCTAGTAGTAAAACTTTTTACCTTTGAATCTTTGTATGCTACATTTGTGCTGCATTCACGTGATCACACACATTAAAATGTAACTCAAATACTCTGCTTCTCGTTGACTTTTATGTAAAAATCTGTTGTTTGTTCAACCTCTCTCAGCTTGAACATTTTCAAGGTGTTAACAGCTCTCAGATAAATAAACAATGACTCTCCTGAGCAACAGTTCTACCTCACCGAAAAGATCTTGGCCTGGAAATATCTCTGTATATTTTGCAGCAGTAACTCTATTGCTCTCCCAATGTCGCCCAAAATACTCACTTTGTGGAAGGTCTGTCAGGGTTCAGGATCACAACCACATCCAGGGGTGAATGGAAATATGGAGGAGGAAATAGAAACAGAATGCACCAACAAATTAAACAAACGCACACAAACCCACATTATATGGAGTGTGTGCTGATTTTAATAGAGGAAACTGTGTTAGGGACAGACTCAGTGAGCTCAGCTACTCTTCAACCACAAACACAAAAATATTTTACATCAATCAATGAACACAGTCTGATGAAACTTAATCCAACAGATCAACTAGAAATGTTATGTAAATTACAATATTACTAGCACATATGAATATTATTATTATTATTATTATTATTATTAGTTTCAGTCAGATGAGAGGGCTCGGACAGTCCTGATGAAGCCTGAGAGACTGTGTGACATCAGTCTTCATTCATGTGGATTCTGGCAGCTGCAGACCTGAGTGAGTAAATCAAACTGAAACTTTAAACGTGAGAAGGAACAAAAACACTGACGCCCTGCAGTGACAGATGAAAATATCACCTGTGCTGTGGGGGAATGATAAGTGTTACAAGTGGCCTAATTTTGAAATATAACAATGAATAGGTCATTGTTCTCCATTCAGATTATTGATATTATCACAGCTGAGTGAGAGGGAGCTGTGACGGAGCAGAGCAGGAGGAAATTTCCAGATTTCATCATTAAATTATCTGAATATTATTAAAATATTATTATGGCAAAAAAATCAAAATTAAAATTAACTTCCAACTAAAATAACACAACATGATGATGTGAAGTCATTCATATTGTCGCACATATTAATTGTGTATATCAGAATAGAATATCATTGTAGGAGTGACAGGGGAACGGTAAAGTTATGATGTGGGGATGTTGTGATAATACAATTATTATACCAGGACCGATTCACATTTACAATCATCGGCCGTGTTTAGAGCGTTAAACGACGACGACTTGTGTGTGTGTGTTGTGTCTGCAGAGCCTGGTTATGGACTTTAACCTGCTGACGGACAGTGAAGCCCGGAGCCCGGCGCTGTCGCTCTCCGACTCCGGGACCCCGCAGCATGACCAGGGATGTAAAGGTCAGGACAACAGCGGTAGGTTTACACCAACACTGTGTGCACTGTGCATGTTTCTCTGTATCTGTCCGGAGTCATGTTACGTAGTCCTGATGATGGATGTCCACGGACTGGATCTCATGGCTTACCTGGTGCACCACGGGATCAACTCAGTCTCTGGAAAATTAAAGACAGCGGGTTTAGGCTAAACATTTGATGATAATAATATTTCTAATAATAATTCTATAAAATAGCTTTAACAAATGATGGATGCAAATTGGCTCCAAACCAAACAGAGTGTAACGATCCTCTGCTTTAGTTTGAAGCCTGTAATGTTGTAGGTGTCTCTGCGCGCTGGATCACACGGAGATAACACAACAGACACACAGCATCAGTCAGCCGAGCTCATCAGAGAAAATTATATTAGGCCTAACTAAACAGTCTTTAGCCTGTAAACCACTTTGGGAGGAATCAAATGCAGCCACACCATCCACAAGTCTACAGAGACTCTGATCCTGAACCAGCCTCTTTAATTGGACGCTTATTACCTCCGTTACGGAGGTTGTGTTTTCACCGTGTCTGTATGTTCATTTCTTCGTTCGTTCGTTCGTTAGTTCCTTTGTTTGTTTGTCAGCAGGATACGTATAAACTATTGAACCGCACCAGACTTAGTGAGGGACTGGGCCATGGGCCGACGTTTTCGTCACTTTCTCAGGAAAAAATGTTTGAATCCTGATGTGAAAAATCAGACACATTAATGGTGTTGAAATCTGTGAGTTGATATAATTTCGTGCTAAAATAATAGATAATAGATAATAATCCGGATCTGGTGCAGGAAAATGTCCGGCCTCGGCGGAGGTGTGCGCTCTGGTCAGTGCCGGTTTCTGTGCCGAGACATTTTCGGGCTCAGGCTCAGGGGATGGGCTCAGTCGAATTCATTTGAATTGGATTTGAAAATTAATTGCAAAAGAGCAAAACTCAGGAGACTTTCAATCAAAATAAGCGGCCGCGCTTGTTTTGATTGAACACAATATATAATCAAGAAATATCTGATTGTGTAATGATGGAGTTAATAGTCAATATTTGATAACAATTTAATACATATAATAATTAAATATAATAGGCCAATTATCTGCATGTCATAAAAATAAAAACTGAATGGAGCTCCAAGGTCTACGGCTGCTGACTGCAGGACATGGTCAGTTCAGCCTTTTTATTCATTGATTGTCTTTTTTAACCACGTTAATGCAGACCGTTGATTGGTGGTGGATTATTGGTGATAGACCTGACGGTATTGGATGGAGGTTACTTTTTGTCTTTCCTCATGAACCACCACGTTGACAGCGTGTTATAAAAAAACAAATATTCACCTGAACTCTGTCTCTAACGTCCCCAGCATACAACATCTCCACCCGCAATCTATTTGTCTATTTATATCTGCCTGGTGTGAGAGTGTGTGTGTGTTTATGTGTAACACTGTCTAATTGCCAAACTGTGTGTGGTTAGAAACCCAGTCTTAACAAAGTGTCAAACACGAACTATTTTGGAAAGAAAAATTGTGTAAAAATGTTTTCACGGATCGAACTCATTTAAAGAAGACTCATTTGTTATCTGTAGATCTTCTGTTTTTTTAAACATTTGAAATGTTTTATTCAAACAGGCCCAGATGGTGTCTGCTAATTTCAACCTAAACTCCACACTGACACAAATCTCTCTTTTCTATTGATGGAAGGCTTTTTCTTTAATGTAAAAACCATAATCCACTGGAGGTGGGGGTGGGAAGGGTATTAAAATGTGGTGATGATGTATGAATTATTTTAAAATGGGTAATTATTCATGTTTACTAGTATATAAATCTAAATACAATTAACATGTTTTATTAATCAAATCTGAATTTTCACAATAAAAGTCTCAAATATTTACATTCAGTAAAACAGCTGTGTAATAAAATAAGATCAAATAACATTTTAAGATTGAAAACACATTGTGGGTATTTTATAAATTTATTTCAGTATTTTGAGTCTTAATGTGTTTAAATCTGTCAACTTTAACCTGCAAAATAATGAATAATGAATAAGGTTCAGAATTTCTCCCACAATATTTACGATTTACAATTTTAAATGTATTTAATGGAACAAAAAAAAATATGAAAAACAAATACGTACAGATTCTAGAGACTGATTAGAAATCTGTGAGAGTGGTGAGGGGCATTTATAATCCTATATTAATCCTGACAATGGAGCCTATTGATCAGATTTTTCACTCACAGAAGATTTCAGCAAACGATCATGTCACTTAATCTAAAAAATTGTAAATGACTTTCTTTGAAGAAAAACATTCTTTATATGAATCAGTTTTCTCTAAGCAATAGTGAGGGAACTGTCCTGGCTTTTGTTATTCTTTATAATGAACATAAAGTACAACCTTAAATCTGAATTGGGTTCAACTGCAGTAGCTATAGCTGCCACACCTTACCACACCAAGCTGACGCCCATGCCACAGGCATGGACAAGTGAACCAGCCATGACTGAATGACCTGACCTTATAATAAGCTTTCTCTCTGTAAAGACTGACTTTGATTTTACCTGCTCTCACCTGGACTCAGCTGAAGTGCATCATTATTGCTGCTTGATTGTGGATGTTTCCAGATGTTGAGAAGTGATTTGGTTAAAAGCCTCTTGAGGTTTTTTTTCCAGATGAAAGCACTCTGGGAAGAAGACCTGGAGCAGCTCTGTCATGTTGGTGCATTATCACCAGATTGCTCCTATTGTTGGTCAGTGTGTTGCTCTAAAAAGGGTTGCCCTTTCCTCTGTATTGTGTCATAGACTTTGGCCTTAAGTGACAGCTTACCCAGTGTCAGTTTACTGTCAGATAACAGCCTCAGCCTGGCCCTTATTGGTTTTGCTGGTGGCCCTGTGGAGCCTCTTTTTAAACCCTGCTGATCATTTTGAACGGCTCCCAGAGAGCTAAGCCCTTGCCAAATAGAGCCCAACCTGCCCCAGTCACAAAAGCTTGATCCAAAGGATTAGCTGGCAAACTAATTTCACTTCTCTCTGTGAGGTCCTCAAATTGTGGGAGTCAGATCTGGCAGAGAGGAGCCCTGGCAGACATAACATGGATATGTGGCCCTTTAAAATGACTGTGCTGGGGGGCAAATGCAATCACCTGCTGCTCCTGCACATCTTTGAACGTAATGCAACGTTTGGATTCATTTTCTCCTGGCAAAATCACAGCCATGCTTGTCGCGCTGCAGCCTATGGGATAGAGGGATTTCAGATAATGTTTGATCTGACAATATTGTCTAGTCAGTTTCAGCAGGGGTTGGATGGTGTTGATCCAGGGTGAAAGGTGTCAGAGTCATGTGCTGTTCAACAGATACAGAATGTGTTGACAGTTCTGCTTCTCTAGTACTGCTGCACAGGAGCAGGAACAGGGTTCAGATGTTCTGCTTTTTGGTGCTTCCTGTTCTCAGTGGGTTTATATGCCTCATTAATACACAAGCCATTAAATTCATCACATTCTTGATCACAATTTATTTTACAGGTCCCATTGTATCCCAATCAATTGAAAGGACCTGATATGTAGTTGTAATTCCTTTTTTCATTGAAGTTCTATCAACTCTATTACTAATTAGAGTAAAAAATTGAGACATTTTTCTGTTGGTTCATGTCCACGTGATTAACGCTGACTCATTTCTAACTTGCTTAGCCCACCTGTTGTGTTCTAGTTAGAACCTTTAACCTACAGTTGGGAGAGTTCATGAAAGTCAGGAGAATTTTATAATAACTGAAACTCCCGCTGCCCCCCTGTATTGTAGGTCCTTTTCCCTGTCTTTTTATTTATTTATTTATTTATTTTTATTAATTTATTTATTTTTATTCTTTTATTCTTTTATTAGTCTTTGATTTTATTATACATTTTTGTTTTTATTTATTTAGGGATATTTTTAACCATTTATAAATGGTTTTAATAAAGAAAATCATAACACTCTTCAGAGTGTTACGTTTTAACCCCAACCTAACCCTATAACCATAACCATAACATTAACCATAACCATAACCATAACCATAACCATAACCATAACCATGAACTTCAGTGCTGGCCCCCCCACCCCCTAGTCTCCAGACCTGGATCCATTTGAACATCTTTGGGATGTGGTTGAACAGGAGACTGGCAGCATGAACGTGCAGCTGACAAATCTTCAGAAATGATGTGATGTATCATGTCAACATGGAGCAGAGTCTCAGAGGAAAGTTTCAACATCTGGTGGATCCATGACATGAAGAACTGAGGAACTACCCAGTGTGGGGTTCCTAATAAAGTGAGCACTGAGTGTACATAAACACAAACAGATGGAACAACAGTGACCACGACTGACTTTTTGTGAGGCTCTAGATCAGATCTTTGATGGTGACACTGGTGAGAGGACAGGATGAAGCATCAGAGGAGTACAACAGAAAATTATTCATCTGAGAACTGAAGATGAACAGGAGATGCAGACTGTTAACTGACCATGTTCAGGATCAGAACTACCCCAGGGCCAACAAGGTTTGCCATATCCTGGACTGATGATCTCACATCCTGCTTTGAACTGGTCCTGATGGAGCCAATAGAAACCATAGTTTTAAATATGTCAAACTTGGAGGGATGACAGGAAGGAGAGAACTGGAAGGAGGTAGACCAGACAGACATTCTCTCTTTTTATGGTTATATTTATGAGCATGTTTGCCTTTATTAACATGTTAGTGAAGAGAGAGAGGAAAGTTACGAGAGACAGGGGATGACCTGGGCTTCTGCTGTCAGGACCCAACCTTCATTGTACATGCTGTACCAGGTGAGCTACCAGGGTGTCCAACCAGGCAGACGTTCAGTCTGGTGTACATGGACCCAGAAATGAATCCACTCCTAGTTTATGGCATTCAGAACCTGATCAGGCATTTTTTTGTGCCATCATGTCAGTTTTGCCTGGGAACACCACAGATGTTTCTATAACTTTTTCTAAAAAATGGAGGGGTTTGAAAATAAATGTCCTATCTACAAGAAAGTAGTCTAAGTAGTCTGTGATAAATAGCACAATATGTTTCCTCTGTTACAACCAAAATACTTCATAAATAATATTTATTTCACCCAAAAACAAGATGTATATTGGCCTACAAAATGGAAGTGCAAAACATATTATAATTATTGGAAATTAAGCAAAATGATAGAAACCCAACCCAACAGCAAGATTGTCTTTGACTCAAAACAAAGCAGAGCAGGTGACATTTTGTTAATAAACTTTCACTTATAAGAGAATATTCATCATTGTAAATGATAATATCTAAATGGATTATTTTCAGTCATTAGGCTTTTAAGCAGCTTTTAGGATTTTCTACACAATGTAGAAGCAGCTACAGTATGTACATTTAAATACAATTTATTTTAATGTTAAATTTAATTCAACTTAAATACAATTGAAATATATACTAATACCAAAGTGAAAATATTGTGATACTTTACTGTAGTAGCTCCAGTTGATGTTAATTCTTCACCACATTTCAGAATAAAATACTGACAATAGTAAACGAGGTTACTTTGCGGATTAAAAGTTTATATTCCAAACATACTGTAGTAATAGATTAACTCGATTAAGTATAATCCACATAACAGGAAAACAACCCATGAGCTAGATAATGCTGTTAGATTAAATAAACCCAATTCACCTCAACCAGCAACAAGACTGAACTGCTGCTTTCAGTGGTAATGATCCAATGATGAAAAACCAGAATGACTCTCAGTAGAGTTCAGACCTCCACCAAGGCCAAACAGTTCTACACATGTTTTAATTTATTGTCTTTAATCCTCACACAGACAGCTGTGTGGTTTTATTAGCTGCTGTGTGAAATGATGACGTCAGGATTTTACAGTTCAAACAGCTCTACACTGTATGAACTGTCTCATTGTCGCAACTGCTGTGTGTAATTTTATTATTCACATGTTGAATGAAACAATGACATAAGCTTTCCGAACTACTGCTACTGCCATGTGCACTGTTGCTCACTATAAATTATAACTCAGTGTGTGATGCAGATTCAGCATTTTATTCCACCAAATCTCTATCCATCCTGGATCTGACCTTTAACCAAAACTGAATGAGTTCTTCTCTGGCCCATGACCCAGCTCTCCACTAAGTGTGGTGTAAACCTGCTGATAAACAAATAGATGAACACAAGTGAAAACAGAAGACCAATGTATCTCTGTTATAAACAGTACTTATAATTTTGATACTTTAAATCCTGATAATACTGCTGTATCTGGACTAAAGTAAGAAAGCAGAACTTTTACTTGTAACGGACCTTTTTACCAAAGTAAAAGTTCTGAATCTTTTACCTTTTCACCTTTTCTGTATGACGACTGGATCGTTTCTCGAGTCTTACAAGCTCAAATAAATAATTCTGCCAGTTTACTTTCTTAGAACACTACAGTGCACTTAATAACATACTGTAGTCATTTAATGAAGAAATATAGTAAAATAAAGTGTTACTGTACTAACAACACATGTATGTGGGGAAGATACAAAGGTTAAAACATGGTTAAGTGTTCCCTTTTGTACAGAAAAACAAAAACAGTGGTTTAACTTGTGTTATATTTATAATGTTATAATTTGGGTGAGATGAATTAACAACAGGGGAAAGTGTTTTGTGTACAGAGTTTTGACAAGTATGGCACGTTTTATCTGTCTGTCTGTCTGTCTGTCTGTCTGTCTTTGTCTCTCTGTCTATCAATCTGTCTGTCACTTTGTGCCTGTCTGTATGTCTGTCTCTGTTTTCATGTCTGTCTGTCTGTCTGTCTGTCTGTCTGTCTGTCTCTCTGTCTGTCTGTCTGTCTGTATATCAGTCGGTCAGTCAGTCAGTCAGTCAGTCAGTCAGTCAGTCAGTCAGTCAGTCAGTCAGTCTGTCAGTCTGTCTATCAGTCTGTCTGTATGTCTGTCTCTCTGTTTTCATGTCTGTCTGTCTGTCTCTCTGTTTTTATGTCTGTCTCTGTCTCTCTGTCTATCAATCTGTCTGTCTCTCTATGTCTGTCTGTATGTCTGTCTGTCTGTTTGTCTCTCACCTAAATATGGAAACTATGGTCATAAGATTTTTCGTGCTGATGAAAGTGAAGGCTGTTTCGTTGTCTTGGTGAATCCTGTCCAGCTCCTCCAGTGTAACTTATGAAGTAAGATTTCCTCTGTGTGTCTGCAGACACAGAGAAATCCCACCACAACCAGCTGGATGAGTCCAGCACTGAGGACAGTTCTCTGAAGAAGAAGCAGAGACGGCAGAGGACTCACTTCACCAGCCAGCAGCTCCAGGAGCTGGAGGCCACCTTCCAGAGGAACCGCTACCCCGACATGAGCACCAGAGAGGAGATCGCAGTGTGGACCAACCTCACCGAAGCACGGGTCAGGGTGGGTACACACACTCCACCACATCCCTGATCATGTTGTTATCACAGCAGCTGATTTCAGTAGTGAGGTTCTCCTCTCTGTCTGAAGGTGTGTAGTGTTTGGTTAATGAAAGCCTGCAGTCTGTTGTACATCAGTCTAACACTCTGCTCTAATCTTGGTCAGATGTCCAGGACTGAGGTATGTGCCCTGATTTTGACTGCTGATGATCTCATAATCTTTCATCAAGCACGACCATTAGGCAAAAGTTTCCATTTGTATCCAGAGCATATCAAAAATGTAGTGTGGAGATTGGTAAGACATTTAGGCAGCACATGATCCCCAGTGGATGGAATCATTCCTTTTTAGACACTGGAGTTTTCACCAGCAGAAAGGTGACACATTTGTACAAACACATTCAGGCTCCCAAAGGAGTGAACCCCTGGATTTTCATTCGTTTTAGTGACCAGTTCCTTAACTTTAGTGCCACACTCAAACTTTACATTTTTAGCCCCACTACTGGTAAAAATGTGTTCACACTGATGCATCACTCTCATTTAAATGACTGGAGTCAGTCCATGTGTGACAAAACACAACACACTTCAAAGGTTCTTTTCAAAACCTTTGACTTGTGGGGTGATTAAAACTACTCAAGGTGATTTCAAGTCTTTTAAGTGTTTTAAAGACAGCAGGGGTTTAAATTTGTTGTTATGTTGGATTAAAGATGTTTATAAGCAAAAATATTCAAACTCTTAAAATCTGTCTATTAGCTCATAAAATTATGAAGAAAATCTAGTAAAAAAATAAAATATAAGGCTATGACTGGACCATGGAATATGGAATATTATTGTATATCTACTCAGTTCAATGAAATTTCGAAATATGCCAGTATCATCCCAAAGATAAATACTGAGCCAAAACATATGATTTCTGTGTACTAGGTCAGATGTTCTATTCCCTTCGTATAAAGCTTCAGTTCACACACTAAACCTAAATGTCAGAGGTGCAGGAGAATGTGCCCACACCCAGTGGTTCGGTCAGTTGAGCTATATGGAGCAGGAGGACACGCATTCTGATGGATGACAATACAGTTGCTGGCCTGCCTGACAAGTAATGGATCAAATTAATATTGGCTGGATGAAAGGTCACATAGCGCACACTCTTGGTTGTTATTTTGAATGGACAACAGACGACCCATTGTCTCGTTCCTAACGTCTATGAGTGGCCGTTCTAACGCCTTCATGTAGGCAAATTTCTTCATGTCCAGAACAGGTGACTTCACCTGTCAGTGGGATTCATGCGTTAATCATCCTGATGGAGCATACTGAAAACATTCAATAGATTGTCTCAGGATAGGACAGACTGTGAAGAATTTCAAAGTAAATGTATGATTTGTGATTAAGTTTTGTAAATAAATTGACTTCACTCAACTGATACATTTTTATCAATATCATTTAATATCTGTAAAAACAGCTCACGTTACATATGCTCTGGTACACAGGTACAAGCTAAGCGTTGAGCTCAGTGCTAACATCAGCATCCTAACATGCTTACAGTTAAAATGGTAACATGCTGCTGTTTAGCGGGTCATATTTACCACAGTCACCATTTTAGTTTAGCATGTTAGCATGCTAACATTTGTTCATTAGCATTAGAAGTGCTACATACAGCTGAAAGGAATGAATTTAGTTTTGCAGGTGTTTGGTCATAAATAAATAAATACTGGACAAAGTGACATATTGACCTGATGTTGCAGCTGGATAATGAGTGATGAAGACTGACATGATTCCTGATTTGAATTATATTTATTTTCCTTCTTATTTAGTCTTCTTCATGATGCATTTCCCCTCTGAGATGATTCTTACCAGATTAAGTGTACAGAAGAGTTTATATTAAAGTTTAATAATAAAAGATATAAAAACCAACTTAAATTTAAAACAAATCAGCTTCTAAAAACAGACCAACTGTTTAAGTTACTGCCTCAATCAGCTGATCATGTATTGTCCAAAGAGGAGTGTCTACGCACCCACACAACAATTCACCAGTAGCACTGCAACAATAACTGATCAATAATTAAATGTCCATTATTCTTACGCATAATTAATCAAAATAAAGATCAATTTCAAAATGATAACTTTGGCTCTCACAGATGCCTTCTCTTGGTATCATTTGACCAGTTCACAGAAGACACATGAACGAGACGGTGAATAACCTTCACACAGCACTGACTCTTGGTCAGGCTAACACCTGGAGCTTCTGTTGTGGGGTTTCCCCTGCTGTCACTTAGGTGGATGGAAAACTCAGAGTCATTCACTTTACACTAATGATCAACAGCATTCTGTTGCTATAATAACAGAGGATTGGATGATTCACAGCATGTATGCCAAGGGCAAAGACATGACTGAGGATCAACTCAGGAAATTTTTACGAGGATTAATGAGATAAAAGTTTTGATATCAAAAATTTAATGTAAAGGAAATGTACAGATGTTAACACATAACCAGGAGGTGTCTGTCCATTAATGAAAGATTTCTGTGTCATACAGAGAAAAGTTTGTCCAGAATTTTACCCTAAGAGACAGTTCTCATTTCTAACCCCCGCACCCCCACCCCCACCCCCCATTCCGATTTTCCACTAAAGCTTTAATCCAATTCATATCCTCCAAATATAGGACCATAAAATGACAAATGTGAAGATTGCCCTTCCCTGACATTTCTTTCATTGGGATCTCGCTATTCAAATAAGTCAATGATTAGTTTTAATAAGCCTTGCTTAATATGACTGTTTGATGATACACTTCAACTTACTTTCTGGGATCATTATGTCAAAAATTCTGAGTACACATGCACACAATATTATTGAAAGTATCTAAGAGGAGTTAGGATACTTTGACTGGATGTGTTTTAGAATTAAACTTTATTGACTAAGGAAAAAGTCATTTGAAAATAACTTTTTCATTCTCTCTATTTTTTCTTTCGTTGCAAAAATAATATTAATTTATATTATAGGCACCTTGTGTCGTATTCACTCCACCCACTATCACATGACTGTGTGCAGGTCACTGATGTTTTCTTGCCTCCACATCTCTGGCCAGCAATGGAACCATTGTGTGTGTGTGTGTGTGTGTGTGTGTGTGTGTGTGTGTGTGTGTGTGTGTGTGTGTGTGTGTGTGTGTGTGTGTGTGTGTGTGTGTGTGTTAACTGCTTCAGTCTCCTAATTCCAGTTTAACCCCTTCAACATTGATTGATGCACTGACACCTTTATCATTACACACATAAGGTTCAAGTGACTTTATTTATGGTATAAGAACTTTATTTTGAAAGTTCAAGGATAAACTGATAAACTAAACCTTTTTTTTAAATTTTTAAATTTATTTTTTTTTAATTTTATTTAAGTGTAATAGGACAAGACAAAGTGATAACATACATACATACATAACATACAATACATACATTGGACAAACTTCCCGGGAGGAGTGTTGTGCCTAGGTTGTGTGTGGATACCTTGGCGTGTGTGTTGTGTGGGTGTGTTGATGGAGTTTGGTTTTGTGGCAGTGGAAAAATATTGTGATTGTATTATAGGGGCAGGTGGTGTAGAATACGAAGATAATAACCAAAGTAATAATAATACTGATGATAATAAAATATGATGTAAATAAGTATGAAGATGATATATAAATATATTACTGATGATATATAAATTATATTAATAATAATAAATATATTAATAATAGTAATGATATAGTTTATAATTAAGTAATGAACAGTAGGCATCTTAATGATAGAGAGAAGTTAAGCTCAAAAAAAAGGAGTAAGTAACATAAATAAAAAAGATATATATCATATATATAGTATATATATATATATAGTGATAATATATACTACTAATATATATATATATATATATATGTATATATATTAAAAAAAATGGATAATTAAATAAATAAAATAAAAATAAAACATATGGGGATTGGGAAGTAATAATAATATTAATAATAATAGTAATAATGAAGTAGGATAAGCGAAAGAGAGAGAAAAAAAAACAAAAAACTGGATTAGTAATAAAATTCGATCTATAGGTGAAGAGATTGGGGTGTGAATTAATAGTGGTTGATGGTCACCCGTGGTCGTTTACTCCCGCTAAAAATTGTGTCCCCGTTGCTCCCAGACCGCTGGTGGCGCGGCCTACTCACAAATAACTGTACGTTAATACATTTGTGTGTGGTGCATTCACTCTGACCTTTTGATATTTACTCTTTTGTGCATTTTCTTAATTATTTGTGGCCAAAAAATAGTCAGTTAGCTAAATATTTGTGTCAGTCTTTTAAAAAACAGGAGCCAAGCTTCTTTAACTGTATGATTTTCAATTATATCCAAAATTTTGAAAGGTTTTCACAGCCTTCAAATCTGATCTCATCACGAAAAGTGTGGACCTTTTGATATTTTGATTGTCTGTTTTATGATTATATATTCTTAGAATTATGTCAATAAGGTCAATTTCTCACAAAATTTCATAAATTAAAAAATTAACGTCTCTTAACTGACGTTAATGTGCGTTTCTATCTGAAGGTAAAATGAAATGATCTAAGGTCACATGTCCACAGTGTGTCGGAGTTACAAGCAAGTTTTCAAAACTGAAAAAAAAACTGTTAAAACATTAAAAAGACTTTATTCCTTTTGCAACACATTTTGAAATATGTGACAAAACTTTGCTTCATTATGGCGCCAATCACTCCACTTTTTTTCAAAATATGCATAATCAACTGCAGTAACTCAAAGTTTTTGTTGAAATGTTGCCACAGTCACAGACTGTTCAGAGTCTGAAGGGAAAAAAAAAAACTTGGGGATGTTGTGACAATAGATGTTTTAGTGTAATATATGTACTGTACAAACAAGGGATGAATGATATGAAAAAAATATATTGCAATAATTTTGGCAGATAATGTGATTTCAGTCAATGGTCATTTTTGCATTTCATGTGATTTTTTTTGGGTCTGTACCAAACAAGCAGTTGAGTCTGTGCGTCTGTAGCACCACAGCGCTTCCTTTATCATCTGTCGTGACACATTTTACCTCTTGTGATTTGGCCATATTACAGTTTTGATTATACAAACAGAGGTATGATGAAACTTGATGAAAATCTCTGAAAACCTTTCTTAAATTATCACAATCCTGTGATTTTTCTTTGAGTTTTTTTATCTGTAAAATTGACATTTTGGTGAATATTGAATCAATTGTTGTTTAACTGTGTTGCATTCCATTTTCAGGCTCTGTTCACTATCTAAGCTTAAGGTGACTGACTGGGTGTTTAAAGCATGAGGCCACTGAAACTGTTCTTTGCTGCTTGTATGTGGAATACAGTTAATGTTTGGTGTCCTCTCTTGATGGTCCTGATCTAGACTCAAGTCTTGAGACAGGTTGCTGGTTCCAATCCAGCCTGACAACCGTGGTGTGTATGTCTCTCTGTTGTCAACTGAGTTCACACATATGTTGACTCTTGTCACAAACTGTGTTTAATGTCAAACTATGTGTTTGGATTCAATTTATCATCACTTACTTTCTGTTTAAATTCATTTTTTCAAAGTGGAGAGATGTTTTTAAATAAATCAATAAAAACTTTAAAGGCCCTGAAAACACATGTTCTCAGTATAGTGATGGGTCCTGCATTAACACAATAATATTCTGCACTTGTTGTTATTTCCACCCCAGTTCTTATTTCACATCAGAGATATCAATTGAGTTTTCAGAGCTGAAAGTGAAGCTACAAACAGACTGTTCACTCAAAGTGTTTTTCCTTTTGTTTGTCCAGGTATGGTTCAAGAACCGACGTGCCAAGTGGAGGAAGCGAGAGAGGAACCAGCAGGCAGAGTTATGTAAAAATGGCTTTGGTGCCCAGTTCAATGGACTCGTGCAGCCTTACGATGACATGTACACAGGCTACTCCTACAATAACTGGGCCACAAAGAGCCTAGCAAACAGCCCGCTCTCTGCCAAGAGCTTTCCCTTCTTTAACTCAATGAATGTAAGCCCCCTGTCATCCCAGCCCATGTTCTCCCCCCCCAGCTCCATCCCCTCCATGAACATGGCCTCTAGTATGGTGCCCTCAGCGGTGGCTGGAGTTCCTGCCACTGGGCTCAACAACCTGGGCAACCTCAACAACCTCAATGGCCCCACGGCACTCAACTCGGTAGCAGTGACCGCGGCCACTTGCCCCTATGCCACCACAGCCAGTCCCTACATGTACAGAGACACCTGCAACTCCAGCCTGGCCAGCCTGAGGCTCAAGGCCAAGCAGCACACCAACTTCGCGTATCCGGCAGTGCAGAACCCTGTGTCCAACCTGAGCCCCTGCCAGTATGCTGTGGACCGGCCTGTATGAAGAGGAAGCTCCAACACCACGCCTGACCCAACCCACCAGCTGTAAGTCCATTATTACCCACAACTTCTCAGTTCCATCTCTAAGCTACCAGATGTGCTGCAGACTGGCAGGTCATGTTTTGGTGATACACAGTGAGAATAAACCTGCTGCAGCAGATAGACATGCCCAGATGGACCACCACTACTTCAAAGGAACTCTCCCATGTGTGAGACTGTCACTGAACTGACTGACTGCTTCAAAGGATTTATAAAGATTATTATCCATTATCATTTTTTCCTTCTTTTACTGCATGATTAGAGTTAAAGTAGAAAACAAGGGTAAATATACATGGAATCTTCACCTGGACTGGTGGTCAACATGTTGGCCCAAAAACATCAAATGTGATCTTTGCTACTGTCACAGGAAAAGGGACCTGTGGTTAAAATGCGAGAGACATGGAGGATGTATATAATGGAATTTTTCTGTTTTGTATGTGACAAAAAATATATGAAAATGTAGTACTTTAAAGATGAGAAAAGCATGTTCTTCAAAAACAAGGGCCCTATGTCGATGTACTATGAACACATCCATTAGGAGCTTTAAATTTTGTTGTGAATTCCTCACCCCTTAGAAGGTTACAGGTCAAAGGTCAGCTTGGCTAGGTGAGAGGAGGGCAATACTGGAAAGTAAACACACCCTCAAGTGGTTTAACACAAAAAACAACAATTAACACATACACATACCAGAATATCAGCAAGATTTTCAAGTAAATCTAAAAAGCCATTAAGTATATAGATTTGTGTGGTGTTATACAAAGGGAGTCCATGATGTAAAAATTGTATGTAAGAGTGCAGTTGTTAAAAGAGAAATCAAGCTTTTTTTTCTTGGTGTTGCCTGCTTTGTCTCATTAAAGAACCAATTAAAGGATCCGTTTTTATGAACTACACATGGACTTACATTGAACAGTTCATGTCCTTCCATATCTCTAATCTAGCCTATGACATTAGCCGGTATGACACGGGCCAAAACATGATGTTCTCACAACAATGAGCACAGCGCCATGGAAACCCTGACTCACTTCCATGGCAACACTTACGCAACGGTGAATGAGAGTAGTAGGTTGGAGGGATAGAGGTTGGGAGATATAGATGTTCCCAATAGCTGCTCACTGATATGTTTGACCTACACTCCGAGTGGTAACTGCAGGCGATCCAGTGACACAGCAGGAATTCACACAAGTCTGCGGCTGAGGCTGCACCAGGATTACATAAGGGCCTCAAGGAGCGAGGTGTCCCAGCAGAGCCACAAATGAGGGGTTAGCAGCTCATCAATTCCCATCAGCCCCGGCAACTGTTTATTATTCTGACATTTCCACTGCTGCTTTTTTTCTACACTCTTAAATAAATTCTACAAAGTCACATTTTTAATCACAACATTTAAATTCTGCTGCTAACTCTACCACACAATTCAAATACTGCTTAAACCAGTCTAATACTGCCCATCAAGTATGTTTTAAACACTTTTTTATTAAAGAAAAAAAATGTCACTGTTTGAAAGAGGACAAAAAGAAAGAGAGAAAACAAAACAAGTCAACTCATATTTTCTTAAAAGTAGGCTAAACTGACAACAAACAGTAGGCGAGCTGTTAATATTCATTTGAACCTGTCTATTAGCAAAACAATATGATAACACAAGGTCCATTTACAAGCTCCAAATTAAAATGTGAGGCCAATAATAACACAGAGCTTCGTTTTACAGAATCTGACTCTGGTTCCAGCTTTGTTATTACTGAATGGAAAGTAAGAGGAGCTGGAGTTGTCAAAACAACAGGTCCCATAGTGAAAAGGCAGATTACAAAAAAACAGATTTGTTTTCATAGAAAAAGTCAAAACCGTCTGCATTAACTAAAATATCATGATCTAATAACTTGGTCCCTATTTTTTATATATTTAATACATAATTACAGAGTTCTCTCCAGCAGACTTTCTAAGAAATTATTATGAGATTACAAAATAAAGAGTCCACATCACCAGGACTGGATGAGAAATAAAAGCAACTCTAAAAATATTAAATCAGCCTAAAATGTATAAGTTTGAACTTTATAATGTTAAATTTTTTCAAAGTGAATAAAACCTGCACATTTACAAAAAAAAAAAAAAAAAAATCATTTAGTGTCATCTGCAGCAGCTGTGGTCCTGTTATCACTGAATGAGCCCTCCTGTTCTGCTGCTACTCATACAGACTACTCTTGATTGTGATTGGATGGAGGGTGTGGATTAACTTTTAGTAAGTGGATGGTTTACCCAAACACCTATGACATATGTTTGTCTTTTTAAATTAATGCAACAGCTGAGCCTCAGCTAAAGATCTTGGAGTTAGGATTATTTGTGTAACCACTAGTAACACATGAAAAAAGCATAAATAGCTTCTCACTAGGAACCACACAGATGTAATTTTAAATGTGTGAATGTGAACGTTCAAATCAACTGAGAGGAGGAAAAGAGGAGGAAAAAGAGGAAAGACAGGAACCAAGCAGAGGACCAGGATAAGTGGCCACAGTGGAGCTCATACCTGCAGGGGACAGAGAGGACCGGAGATGACATGTGACCTAAACCACAGGGAAAACACAGAGGTGTGGAGAAGTCACAGGTAAGAGCCTCTGTATGTGACTGAGAGGAATTTAAATAAATAACATCATGTAGCAGAAGAAGTCACTTTTCTCTGCTGTTGAGTTTGACATAATCAGTTAAACATTCTCTTTGAATTTTGTCAGGATTATTTCAGTCCTGTCTAAATTTGCAGCTCAAGGATACACGATTGCCATTTGACTAATAATATTGATGCTGGCTTGTGTGGAGTCTGTAGTTCACCAGAAATCTGAATAATGAAAAATGGCCAATCCCATCCCATGTATTAGCAAATGTATATATCAGTCTTGATCAGTAGCCGAGAAATTCCAGTTCAAATGTTTTCAGGCTTTAGATAAAATGTGCTAGGACTTCATCAGACATAAATGTATGTATACTGTGATATCAAATAACCCTCATCAATACAGAGAGCAATGCAGAGCTGATCTGACAGCAGCTATTCTCCTGGTAGCCCTGACACAGACCTGTTTTGTGGAGTGAGGTGAAGCGGTCACAGTGTGTGCTCCTCACTGCCACACCACACTAAAGAATCAATATTCCACTGGAGGGGAGATATCTGCCAGTCCCTTTTGTTTACTCACACTACACAACTACAGAGCACAGACCGTGGTCTGGAAAAAATACCAAACCCGAGGATGTTCTAACGATTACCTCAGAGAGTAGAGAAGAGAGGAGGCCAGCAGAGAGCGGCTGGAGGAATTAGAGGTGGAGATCTGTGAGGGAACATACATTCTTCTATGGGACACCATGTTGTTTTAATTAGCTCATTAGTGCTCGTCTGTTTCTTTCTTTATATGTATGAACAATTTTAATATGCACTTTAGTTTATCAAAATTATGTAGCATGATGTCATTATGTCATTATATTTGAAAAAGCAATGAGTATAAAAAAATGAATTGTATAATGTGATAACTTATGCATAAGTGTAGTTTTTCAACAGTTTTAAAAATAATACACACACATACACACAAACATGAAAACCTACACATAGAAACACATGTTGATATAACAATTAGGCATATTATAACAGCTATAGCTAAAGTAAGGCAGTAATCTCTATGGACGGCACTCAGCCCTGCATGGTGCTCATATCTTGTCTCGTCATAAGAAAGATATATGAGCCATTAATAAATGTTACACCAGCTCTATAAAATGACATGCTGTTTCAAGGTCTATAAAATCTGAGATGCCTGTCATTGTAAACCACAGTTTACTGAATGCGCTGTTCAATTGTCTAATTGTCAAAGCATCAACTCAATGACTTTGAGTGTGGATGCATGATATTCAGGTTATTTATAAATGATCTACATCTGTATCTAATTCAGGTAAAAGTAACCTGTAATTACTGAAAAAATATTTTGATATAAGCCGCATAAGTATGCATATCTGAGTAAGGCCAATACAGTCTAATACAATTTTTCATTAATTTTGTGTTTCGTTTATATTTCATATCAATATTAATATTCTATATTAAAGGACAATATTTATTTGCTTTTTTTAACAAATCTTATCAAGAGACAAAATCCAATAGTTTGCGCTCAACACTTTCTGCCTTCCCCATCCTGTCTTCAGTTCTCTGTTTAAAAACTATATAGTTTAAAAAGTTGGTTTCATTTTTTTTTCAAAAAAGGCCAAGTAATTTCCCTATTAACATTATTGCTTTTATTAATTGTTCCTCGAACAGGAGGCGTGCATTTGTTGGGGACTATTTTAAGCTGTGGATGAATGCACATGTTGTGCTCTGGACTTTGTAGCTCCCACTAGAATAAATAAAACAATCATTTCTGAGTGAATTAAACAACCAAAGCTTCAGAGTGTTGGTTGGTGTATTTCCCACTCTGGACAGAGCTAGGCTAACTTTTGCCTCTGCTTCCAGTCTTGATGCTAAGCTAGGCTGACTGAATCCTGACTTCAGACTTCAATCTGTACAATTCACTCTTGGAAAACAAAGTGAGTGAGTGTTTGTCGACATGGTTTAAAACCTCACCTGCAGCAGCTAGAGACTGAACCTGTCTGTTTCTGGCTTAATGCCTTTCCCCTGATATTTCTCTGAGTTGTTTTCATTGACTGTTCAGAACACATGGAGTGATGCACTGCATCACTGCACCCACATGATATGGTGTGGATGTGGATCATTTCAGTTTGTCTTTGCATAGCTCCAACATGAGATTAAAATACCACAGTTTTTATTTGTTGCTTAGACCTTGACACAGACGTTGTCACATCAACACCAAGCCCAAAACCTATAAGTAACATGCTTCTGTGCAATTGGCTCTGTGTGTAACTGTCACCTCTACAGTAAACAGCAGATTAGTGTGAAAACAGTTCACATTTACATGTGTTTGAACTGACATGGAGGGAGATTTTACATGC